CTGCCGCTGTTCAGCGCAGCCGGCAGGTGGCGCCCGAGCTCCAGCCAAGCTGCGGACCGCAGTTAGCCGCGGGCGGGGAGACTGGGGACCTCGCAGAACGTGGTGGGTGGCGCTGCCAGTGAGGCGTGTATTCAGCGGATAGCACCTAGGCAGTTTCACTTTTGCTAATGCACCCCAGCCCAAGCTCATCTGAATATAGTTTTGTTTACCGACCGATATTCACCTAGTTGCACGTTTGTGCAGCAGGATTGTGGCGAGGACTTTGACCTTTTAGTGTAGATCGCGTCTCACTTTCCCCTGCGTTGTTGGGCTGCACCCAAAGGAAATACCTAGCACGTGGGCTTTGCAGCACATCCTCCTGATGGTGTGTGTAGGGGCTCCTGAAAGCAGGGCCGGCCTTATTCACTCGGGGCTCTCAGCTTGCCACGGAGAAGATGCCAAATGAATTAATAGATTTTTTTTTTTTTTTTTTGAGGGAGGGCAGTACTGGGGATTGAATTTAGGGCATTTGTGCTGTTATATCCCCAGACCATATTTATTTATTTAGAGAGAAGTTCTTGCTAAGGCACAGGCCCAAGGCACTTGCAAATTGCCAGCTCTGTGCTGTATTTAAAATGTCTGTGTGAGCTGGGCATGGTAGTACAACCCCGAAAGTTTAGCTACTGGGTAGACCAAGGCAGGAGGACTGTGAGTTTGAGGCCAGCATGGGCAAGACCCTGTCCAAATCAAACCAGTCCAGATCAAACCAGACCATACCAGGCCATAGCAAATCCCTGTGTGTGAAGGACAGATTGATAAGCAAGAATCTTTTAGCCTGGTTGTGTGGGACCCCTAGACTACTGATATTTGAAGGGACCTCAATGTTGTCCAGCCTTGTTGCTCAGCAGGACATGGGAGGCTCACTGCTGTGCCCCCCACTTCTGAGGGGTGGGATGGGCCAAAAGGAAAGCAGGGTCCCTAGCACTGGGCAGAGGGACAGGAAAGGGGTCTAGGGGTACAGACATTGTAGCTAGAGCTGAATCTTTCTGTATGCAGGTGAGGGCTGTGGCCGGGCCTGCCATGTGTCCTCCATGTCACACACAATAGTCACAGCCTGCCTCAGCCAGTGTGTGGGGTCCCTCTGGATTTGGATCACAGCTGTGGGCAGGCTTGTACCTGTTTGTGCCCCGGTCATGCCCTTGATGTGGTGTTGTCAGGCTCAGGCCTCACCCAGCATATATTGCCAACTGTTAGAAGACTGGCCAGTGCCAGGCAGAGACAGGAAGACACTCCACTCCAGGAAGGCCATCCCAAGGACAGTGGAGCGTCCCTGTCCTGGCTCAGGCTGCTTTGGACCCTTGATCTGACCATACACTCTCCTCTTTCTCGTATGAGCTTTGCCTTGCTTTTCTTTCCAAACTAGTGACAGAATTCAGAGCTCTCACCCCTGCAGTCTGTGGAGTTCGCAGACACACCCATGTCTCTGCCCTCCCTGATAGGCAAAGGGACAGGAGATGTGGGTGTGACTGTGAGGGCAAACTGGGCGTGGCCTGGGCTAGGCAGGCCGCAGGACATCCTGTTCGCTTCCCAGCAGCCTCAGGGCCTCAGGGACTGCTTGCAGCTTGGGCCTCCCGGGAGGGATGGAGCCCCGCCCTGTCCTCCCAAGCCCCAGCGTCTCCAGGGTGCCAGGATGCAGCCATTTCAGGACAGATCCCAGGCCCTGGCCCACACTTGGCCAGCTCTCCCTTCTCCTTCTGAACAGTGTACCAGAGGCCCAGTGCGGCTGGACCCTTGTCTCCCTCGCTGTGACGCAAAGGACAAGTCTATTTTCTGGTTTTCGTCTTTCTTCCCATCAGTGTGGCACGCTGTGTCCTGGCCCCAAGGGTGACCTCCCAGGCTCTGTGCTGATTTGTCCCACAGATTTATTCATAAATAAATAATGTCTGCCTTTCTCTTTTTTTCCGAGATACTAGGATTCCATGGACCCAACAGCGTGAGAGAGGAGCAAACCCCTTTTCCCCATCTCCTTCCGGGGCTCCCATGGGTAACCACCACCAGAAGCAGAAAGCAGCGGGGTGTCTGGGTAGATTGCTCATGTCAGCCACCTGGCCAAGAAGGCCTGGAAGGACACAGAAATGACAAGACTAGGGGCACAGTCCAAACTCAGCACTGTTCCGTGTGTCCTCAAAGTTGGCAGGCCAAAGATTAAAGTCTGGATTTTAGCCCTGACTTTACCTGGGCCCAGGATAGCGGCAGTTTCAGTTAGGAAGATTAGGGTGTGCTCCCCTGCTCCCCACGCCCCAGCCTTCTGTGCACCCCTCTTCTTTGTGCCTGCAACTTCCTTGAATTCCTGAGATCTTTGGGCTTGAAGTGGAATTGCACCCGGCTCCCTCCACACCACCCAAGGGGGCTGCCCCACCCTCCTGGTTCGGAGCACCTGCTTGCACCTCAGAAAATAGTCTTTTCATCCGGCCTCCTTGAATGGCCCCACCGCAGAGCCCACCTGTTTCTCCTGGTGCCCAGATAGAGACACAGAGGAGCCCCAGAGTGCCAGCGAGTGCTTACTGTGAATCCGATGCCCACAGTGGCTGAGAAGGAGCCCGGAATGAACTTGCCCTGGTCGAACTGAACCAGCAGAGATGTCTTCCCCACGCCACTGTCACCCACCAGGATGGTCTGGAAGGGAGCAATAGGAAGGAGAGAGAGGACTGTGGTTGGCTTGGCGCTTGAGATGCGTTTGTGGCTACAGGAGCCAGTTCTTTCTAAACACACACACTGACTCAAAGGCCCACACGGACACACACGACACACACACAGATACTCAGATATGGATGCCCCCCACCCCGACTCTCGACTTCCTACTGAAATCCCTGAAAAGCCACAGAGGCATCGAGAAAACCTGCTAACCCAAGTTAGTGAACATCCAAGTGACCCTGAGAATGAGCCTCTCGGACTTCTAATCACAGGGCCATAGCGGACCCCTGGTCCCTGCTGTGTGCTGAAATCCACCATTGCTGTGTCTGCGAAGTGGTGGTGCTTCCCATGGGGAATTCCCAAGCAGAGGCAGAGCATGGCCGGGACACCGAGGCAGGGCTGTCCTGAGAGCTCTGGGGATTCCCTCAGGTGGTATCTGACTTGCATTGTGGTCTGGTTCCCCTGGCCTCCCTGCTCTTGACCCGTTTCTCTCATAGGTAATTTCTTTAATAAAATCCTTGTTCATTTCCTTCCCTTTTGGTGTTTTCTCCTTGGAAGACCAGAATTAACATGACATCCATGGTTCTCCTGTATGTCTATGGAAAGCCAGCCTATGGAATGAAACAAAACCAATGCATCTGGTGTATGCTTGGCCCTGGAACAAGGCTTGGAGAGGACAACATTTCAAAGAGAAATAGCTTTAGCGGAAGAGGAGAAAGGCTACTAGGAACAGTGAGGGTTGAGAATTAGCCTCAACTCAGGTGAAATAATTAAAATCATAAGCAACAGAATCTGTTAAGGCAGAGGCTGCACCTGTCAGCCCTCTGTAAAGGGGTGAGCAAGTAAATGCCTTGGTTTCTAGGGAGGCAGTGGCCACTTTCCAGAGACAAACCATTGGAGGTCATTGGAAAGGCTAAGAGGGTGAAAACTTTAGTTGGATTCATCAAGACAAAAGCATTGGTTGGGGATTTAGCTTAGTGGTTCCGCTGCCTGCCTTGCTGCCTTTCAATCACAGGGATCCAAGTTTGATCCCTGGTACTGAAAAAAAAAAAAAAAAAAAAAAAAGACACAAAAGCATAAAGAAGACCATCAGGGCCTCTTTGGGTCAGGCCCATGGGCCCCAGCCACTGCTGGGCTCCTCTGTGCGTGGCATTGTAAGGAGGTGGTATTAGAACAGGTCGAAATAAGCTTGTCCATGATGTTGACTTTGGCCATTCTCTCACTGTAGCTCTCCCATCCCCACCTCCTGAACCAAATTGTTTGTTTTCATTTCCTCCTGGGCTGCAGAGAACCATTGTATGTTGTTACATCTCAAATCTAACTTCTTTAGGCTGCCAGAAGTGCTTCCTAGAGAGAAGGTGAGGAATAGATTATGCATTGCTTTCCTCATTTACTTCCTAAAGGGTATAGTAGATTCGAAGTCTTCCCCTTTATGCTTTTCCCTTTTAGGGTGAAGAATTCCCATCTCTTTCTGTGCTCATCATAGGAAATAGTCCCATCTTTGGATGTTTTGCTGGCCCAGTGGGGACTGGTCTAGGAGCCCAGGGGTTTGGACAAGGTTCATCACTTTGGATCCTTCAGGGGAAAGGGCCAGGATGATGCTTTCATATTGGTTCTTCTTCTTTTTCTTTTCCTTTTTTTTTGGATGTTTTGCTGGCCCAGTGGGGACTGGTCTAGGAGCCCAGGGGTTTGGACAAGGTTCATCACTTTGGATCCTTCAGGGGAAAGGGCCAGGATGATGCTTTCATATTGGTTTTTTTTTTTTTTTTTTTCCTTTTTTTTTTTTTTTTTTTTTTTTTTTTTTTGAGAAAGGGTCTAACTATGCAATTGAGACTGACCTGGAACTCACTACGTAGCCCAGGCTGGTCTCAAACTCACAGCGATCCTCCTGCCTCAGCCTCCTGGATGCTGGAATTACAGGTGTGCATCACCATGCCCAGCTTCATATTGTTTTTTGTGGCAATGTCAGGAATCTATTGGCATTGACCCCAGCAGGTGTTTGGGTTTTTTTCCTTTTGTTTTTTTGGTCTGGTAGAGCTGGTCAACTTATAAGCACTGCTAAATTATTTTCCCCATATCCAAGACCTCCCTGTTTTTTCTCCAGATTTTTCACTGTGCTTTCTCTCTTCCAGCTCATCTAAGGATATTTAATTGATTAATTAAAAGTTAATCATGGTTCTGATCAAGACCTCTGTGTCAACATCATCAAGATTTGTGATTTATACAAGTGTTCCTGTCCACTCTGCTTAAACCATTTTGCTTCTGTCTGTGTTTGTGCCTCTCCTACTTACAATTTTACTTGAGGTCACTCAAACAAAAACCCACTTTTACAAGAAGCAGCCAAAGAGAGAGTGTCAGAAAGTGTGCGAAGGCAAGAGGGGCATGTGGTTTGGGGTCAGGTACGTCTCCCACACACAGTGAGGTTGCTTATCTATGGCGTTTGAGCATTATGTTTGAGTCTATGCTTCCTGGCAGCCAAGGCAAAATGGGGAATCAGATGGTGTCTATGGTACTTGTATGACAAAGAATGACTGAGTCCTTTGGACCGTTTTCTCCTGGCGTGCCATTCTAAGAGGAATGAGTCCGTTACATGGACTCCTGTGGAAGAGGCCTCAAGTAACAAAATGAGCAACTGCCTTTTTTCAGGAGATGCAAAGGTTTTCCTTCAGCTGTTGTGTCAATCATCGATAAAAGCAGGGACCTCACAGTACACTGTCTGTCCTTGGGTGGAAGGCTTCATGTAGGAGCCTGGCTGGTACTAAGTGCATTGCTTTCCAGCATTTGGAAAACCTCATGAACGGGTGACTCCCACAGTCCCTAAAGTGATTCACAGTGGCATTCTTAAGTAGACAGGTAATTTAGGCACCATCAAGAAAATCATCAATAGACCTGCTGCATAATGATAAAAATATGGTAGTGGTCAGATGATGCTAGAAACAAAATCAAATGAGAAATGACATAGGGGAAAAAAACCGTTTGGAAGATACATAACCAAGGGTTAACATCTCTCACAGTACAATCCAAAGAAAGCCTCAACAGGAAATGAACAGAGGATGGGAATAGGTATATTTTCTATGTGTGCATCCATGACTGTCCACCTGGCTGGGCTCCAGACCTCACTGTGCAACCCAACAGTAATATAGACGCTGCTGTGGAGGTATTTTTGTCAATGTGGTAAACATCTACAGACCGCTGGCCTTAAGTCTTCAATAATCTGGGTGGACCTCACCTGATTAACTGAAAGACTTTAAGAACAAACCTGTAGTTTGCCAGAGGAAGAAGAAATTCTGCCTCAGTACTGTGGCATCTGCTCCATGAGAGAGTTTCTAGCCCTCTTGGCTTTCCTTGTAGATTTTGGACTTGGCCAGACTCTACTGCAGTGTAAGCCAATTCCTTGGTGACAAATCAGTCTCTCCCTTCATTTTCTATGTCTGTCTGTCTGTCTGTCTAGCTTTCTATCTAATTTCTTTTTTTTTCTTGTACCAGGGATTGAACTCAGGACCTTGCGCTTGTGAGGCAGGTGCAGTGCCACTGAGCTAAATCGCCAGCCCTCTCAACATGTATTACTCTTGTAATTGGAAAAATGTCTGGGGAAGCACGCTGTGCCAGGGCAACACCAGAAAAAGCAAAGCCAAGGTGAGCCCAACTCCTGCTGAACAAATGCTTGTTTTCTTTTTCCAGATAAAGCTAGCAAATTAATTGGTGCTTTAAAAAAAGATCAGACTTTCTGGGCAGATGGAGCCAGGATCGCAGCTACTCTACTTTGTCTGTGTCAGCAAGTGTGATCCACCTTAGGTACGGGGGGAGCTGTGGCAAAAACGACAGCTCCTCTGTTCTCGAAGCCAAGGGCCCTTTTACTTTCTCATCCTTGCAGTCTTACCATGCTAGCTTATCCCTTCAGGCTGCTATAATAAAAGGCCATAGACTGGGTGGCTTATCAGCAACAGAAACTTACTTTCCACCATCTTGGAAGCTGGAAATCCAAGCTCTCCTGCAGAAGGGCTCCACTTATGACCCAGTCTCTCCCAAAGTCCCCACCTCTTACCACCCTATTGGACATTAAGTTTTAGCACATGAGCTTTAGGGGGACAAAACATTCAGACCATAGCACCCACTTTTGGAGACCCACGTTTTCCTAAAGAATAGACTTTTCCTCTGCCTTATTTTCTAAACAAGAATTTGGCTGAGACCCATGCCATACCCTGCAGGAGAGGGGCATTAGATTTGGAAAATGTTCTAGGTTGGTATTACTAGTCTCAGGCCCTGTTAAATCTGTTCCCAGTTCATGATAAAAATATTTTCATTGGGGGGAACGTGCTTTGTAAACAGCCTGGGTGTAGACACCCTGATGATCGCCAGTTCCAGGATTCTCTATCTTATTAATTTATGTATTATTATTTTTTGCAGTGCCGAGGTCTGAACCCAGGACCTTTGCATCAAACTACCCTCCCCTCCTTTTGAGACAGGGTCTTGCTAAGTCCCTAAGTTGTCCAGGCTAGGCTTGAACTTGCAGTGCCAGAGTGGTGGGATTACAGGCATGTGCCACCATGGCTGGCTTTCTATTTTATTAACTTTTTAAAAATGGAGTTTATTGGTACTTTTTAAGTATACAGTATAGTTCTTATTAACTTTTTGGTGACAAATTTGATGCCACCTTTCTTCTTCATTGTCAGAACCAAATAGGATCAAAGTGTCCTCTTCTCTTTCTCTTTAATCCCTCCCTCTGTCCTTTTCTTCCCTTACCCTCTGTCCACTGGAAGGCGGCAGGATGTGCTAACACGGGCCAGACCTGGGTTTGAATCCTGTTCTGCCATCCACTAGGTGACCTTAGATAACTTACTTGGCCTGTGGCAGGTTTTTTAGCTGACAAACAGGAGTAACATCACCTTTCCTCTAGATTTGTAATGAGGATTCAATGTGGAAAGCATGTAAAATACAGAACATAGCACAAGGGGGTGGAAAAGATGAACTGCAACTGGGTCCAAGGGGGAACTAAGATATTTAGGAGGGGCTGATGATGAGAGCTATGATGTATGACTGATTCTTAGATGTAGCAGAGTAGCTCAGCCAATGTACAAGACTGGAAGCAGAATGACAATGCCATAAATGAGGTGCATCTGTGTATTCATTCTCTCTCAGTATTTATTGAGCACCTGCTATGTGCCAAACGTGGATCTAGTCATTGTCAGCATAGATCTCATGGGCTGCTATTCCAGACTGGGAGAGACCCCAACCTGGGAGAGGCCCTTTCCATACAAAAGCTTCTCTGCTGATCATAATGCCTTGTGGTTAGATGTACCCCCAAAGCCTTGGGCGGTCATGAGTGGGGCTTTTTTGGGTCCAGAGTGTGTGGTGTTGGTATTGATTCATGGTATAGTGAGTGCTAGGATCAAGGGTGTGAGTGTTACTCGCCCTGAGCAGTCTGAATAAGATAAAAGGAGCAGAAAAACTTCCCTTGCTGCTTTTGCTACTTTGTGTGTGCCATGTTGTTTCTCCTCTGTGAGGCCTGCTGGCCATTCACCCGCCTTGGAGTCAGCAGATTATGGACTGAAACTCTACAGACTGTGAGCCAAAGACACCTTTCCTCCTTTAACTTTGGGTGTCAGGTATTTTGTCTCAGTGATGAGAAAAGTAACTAAGACACCTATGAAGATGTTTTGAAAAGATCATTGGTAGCTTGCAAATCCAACTGACCACGAGGCATATGGGTTGCAGTCCCTGGATGTAGATCCACCAGACAGAAGTGTGCAGTGGCTCTCCAAAGTGCTAGAACCAGACACAAGCTGTTTTTTTTTTTCTCGGTGACATTTATTTTATAGGCAGATCATTCTTCAAAGTTGACAATGTTGTGTGCAATGGAAATCTTTGACATAAGCGCTGAGTGACATAAGCTATACAACACATCTGATTTTTGGAACTAACCATACATTTCTACAGGAAGAGATGAAAGATGGGTGAAATATAAACCTTGATGTTAAAAATGATCATCTCAAAGTGGTGAGATAAAAGGCAATTGAATCCCTCTGTGCCTCCCTTCTTCCCTCCCTCCCTTCTTCCTTCCTCTGGAGGGGCCATAGTAACGGGTTGCATAAGAAAGAGACGAGAGAAGGGGCTCAGAGTGTGCAGAAGCTGGGCACACACAGCTAAAACTGTAGAGTTGAGAGGGCAGCTCTAGTTTACGGGGGTGGGGTCTTAGCTCTCTCCAGCCACAGCAATGCTGCAGCAAACTGGCCAGAACACAGTGGTACGCAAGTGTGAGCCAGCGAGAGTCTAGGTAGCTGCTCTGGCCTTAGCGGAGTTTCCTCACACATTTGGGTCCTTCAGTTGATGGTGGGGACAGCTTGGCTCTGCTCCTTGGCAATCTCCACTTCTACTTCCTAGTGGGCAAAACAGACCACGAGTTGAGCTCAGCTTCAAGGGGAGAGAAAGACTCTGAAGGGAGAATGTGTATCCAGGGCAGGGACTGCTCATCAATTTACCTCAGGGCCTTTAGAAGAGAAACAGCCCCAAATTATGAATACAAAATTTGGATAAGGCCTTGAAAGGAGCCCATCAGCTCCATCAGCCCCATAGCAAAGCCCCAGAGGCTCCCTGAGTGGGGAGCTCAGGGACCCACACTGATGAGGTCAGAGCCTGGATCCCCAGCAAGCATCTGTGTGGGGAAGTGTGGCTGAGCCTGTTTTCACTCTGTCTGTGGTTTCTGTAGTTCTCAAGGGGGCCATGTGACAAACTTCTTGTGGAATTTCTGTTAGAGCGAGAGAGACCTACCCAAACTGGCCTTTCTACCAGGAGCTCCTCTACCTGTGAACTTTTGGTTCTGAAATGATCATCTGCAGCTTGAGGAAGTTTCCACCCTCTTGACCAGGAGAACCCATTGCATACATTAAAATACACACACACACACACACACACACACATATCACTTGTATACACATGTGTAACACACACATATCTACACATAGCTCCCTCCACAAATATTACACACACACACACACACACACACACATATCACTTGTATACACATGTGTAATACACACACATCTACACATAGCTCCCTCCACAAATATGAGCACGCACATATACATACATGCCTGCACACACACAAGGACTTGTGCATGAACACACACAATGGTGCTTTAGGTTAGGGAGAATCTTGTCCAATCCCTTCTTTCATAGATGGGGGTCTGGAAGCCAGGAGACAACAGGGTCATGTAGAAGTTAATGACCAAGCCAGGACTTGGGCCTCAATGGACATTTGAGAACTCAGCCCCCATCCCTCAAAGCCTGACTCTCTCGTATTCCCCAGAGACCCTTGCTTTAGGCCACTCTGTTCTTGACTCGAGAGGGGATTCTCCTCAGATAGGCCAGTCTTCCTTGTACCAAGATCAGGGATCTGGCCGCTGGCGGAACTCCTGGAAGACAATTCTGTTCGCCCCCTTGCTGCCTATGTTCAAGAAAGAAAAAATTATCCCATGACTTTCTTGACACACCTGTCCCCTTGATTTTTAAGGCTGCTTCAGCCAGCTGAATTCCTGGTCCTCTCCCTGGGGGCCAAAGGCTCTTCTGTTGTGAAAGCTGATACCTCTCAGTGTACCTGTACAGTGCCCTTGTAGGGGCCAAACGGTTGTTGAGCCCAACTCTAGGCTTGTTTGACCTTACTTTATGATCCAGAGGTGTGTAAAGCGAGAGGTCAACTCTGGCCACATCCTGGAAAAGCCCCTCCTGTCAGGTGCTGTGTTTTTCAATGCAAACAACTGCCTGGAACTTACTCATTAATAATTAGGGTGTGAAGAGCTGTGCCTGTCCTTGAGACTTGCTTGTGAAGATGTCCCAGGTTGTGTGTAACACATACTAAAAGTAGCTATAGGTGCAAACTATGAGAAAGGGCCCGGCTTTTCATGACCTCTGTGTCTTGTCCCCCAAGGGCTTGCTGGGATCCTGATGTGGGAGGAGAGATAGGAGGGGTGGAGCATGGTGTCAGAATGAAGAGAGCAGGACAGGCAAAACATGGGTATGGGAGTGAGGGGTCACAGTCGTGAGCTCTGGAGCACCTAGCTTGAGCCAATAGCTGTAGGATTGCAGTTGCTGGGCCAGAGGACATCTCTCATCGGTGCCAGTGTGCTGTCAGGCAAAGCTCCTCTTCCCCACTGGGCCTGTAGGTCTTTCTGTATCTCTTGACTCTTTGATCCCTTTTCACTCAAGTCTGGGTTTTGACAGTCCCTCAGCTTCCTCATGCCCTCCTTCCAGCCTCTGGTCTGGAATCTCTCCTCTGGCTTCTGGCTTAGTCCCACTGGATTCCCCGTTTTCTGGGCTCCTGAGAGTCTGGCCACACCCAAAGGCCCAGCTTTAGGGCGTTCTGGCCATCAGCCTTGGTTCTCTGTGACTCTCAGAGGTCCGGGGGGGTTGGGGAGGTGCTGGTCACTCCCAATGGCTTCATGACTGCGAATGTCCACAAGACAGAGAAGGAGACACTGAGTTCTACTTTTAGAGGAGCTTTGTGGCTGTGGACTGAGTGATGTTTCTCAAAAGCGTTTTCATGATCACTTTGCCTTCTTGCATTGTTGCTTTGAAATTTCACCCAGTCTACCTCCTTCCTCTTTCAGTTATTTGGTAGTGGGAAGTGGCTGAAGGGGGAAGTGCTAGGGAGAGGGTGCAGAACAGAGGTCTGGAGATGAAGGAGTGGGGCCTGTAGTGGGTTCTCACTGGTAGCATCCACCGTAGGGGACCGGCATCGACAGAAAATGTACCTGCTGCGGTTCTTTCCCCTCCTCTTCTGGTTCTCAGGTGAGTGAGTCCAAGCCTGAACTTGTGCGTAAGGCTTAGCCGAAGGAAGTGGCTGCAGAGCCTCATGCCCCAGCAAGAAGCCATCCTTGATGTACAAACTATCTGGGTTTCCCCTGCTCTCCCTACCGTGATAAGGCAGAAATATGGTTCCTGTTAGCATGAAGCCAACCTGAGGCATAATTCCTGCCTCCTCAGGAGTAATCAGGTTTAAAACGGACAGACTGGAAAGTAAAGGAGCTGTGGTTGCTCAGGAGGACTGCAGGGTACCTGGTCCTGGGCTGTAATGGTACCTTCAGGGAAGGTTTCTGGGAAGAGAGGGAGGAAGAGATTTGAAGGAAGAAAGAGAGAATTTGCCAGATGCGGGGGAGAGGTGATTCTGGGCATTTGGGGCAAAAGGAAATAATAGAAATTGTCGATGACCTGAAATGGCTAAGAGGAGGCAGGGATGAGGAGGAAAGAAACACTGAGATGTGGTTTCATTTTGATTAAAAATGAGATTTTTTTTTTGGCAGTACTGGGATTGAACCCAGGACCTTTGCAGTGAGCCGCAGCCTCAGAATTTAAAAATAAAAATTGTTTTATGAAATAGAGACTTGCTAATTCTCTAAATTGACCAGGCTGGGTTTGAACTCAAAATCTTCCTGCCTCAGTCTTCCAGTGTGAGACTTCCCAGATGAAAGGGATTTTCTTGACTTGTAAATATTGCTGGGCTCCAGGGCTCAGGCCCCCTCGGTCTAGAGTCACTCCTTTGTTGATCTAATCTGCTCTTGGGTTGAAATCCTCACTGGCAGATAACTTCCTGGCCTGGACCACTCTCACAACTCCAGGATCTTAGAGCTGACTGTCTACTCAGTATCTCTGCTCAGATGCTGACATTTCAAATGAGATCTGATCAGATCTCCCCCTGAATCCCTTTCTTCCTCAGCCTTCTTCATCTTTGCATTTGGGAAACACCATCTTTCTCAGTGCCCAGGCCAAACCTGAGGGGCATCAGTCTCTCTTCTCCGTCGCTCTCCAATGGCCTCAGGGTTAAAATCCAAAGTCCTTATGAGGTGCTTACAGTTTGGTTTTCCTAGCCATCATCTTCCTGCTCTCCTCCTCTCTTTGGCTAAACCCACTTAGCCACACTGGCTCCTTAGATGTTCTTTGAACACGCCAGGGAAGCTTCTGCTGTGGGGCTTTGTACCTCCTGTTCTATGCCCCACATAGCCCAGGCTCCAGTCTTTTTCTCCCTTTCTGCCTTTCCTTCTCACTACTGCCTTCCTTGATGACCCTCGTTAAAACTGTGGTTTCCTTCCACTATTTTTCTTCATTGTCCCCATCTTCACCTGGATAGAGAGAATATCAGCTTCCAGAAGGCAGAGATTTTTTGTGACTATAACCAGAATAGGTGCTAACTAGACAAACAGTAAGTAATGAATGAATGCATGTATTCAATAAGAGAGAATATTTTGATGGTTATAGTGTTGTCCTTTCCATCTTTCTCTTTCTGCTTTCATAGAATGGAACAGTTAAGACTCTTAATGTTATTTTTTGTGTGTTTTTGGTTCGGGTATTGAACTCGGGTCCTTGTGCTTGCAAGGCAGGCCACCGAACCGCTGAGCTAAATCCCCGGCCCAAGACTCTTAATGTTAATGGAAGAAGACATACATTTCTTGTCTCTATACAATGGTGAAACCACCCTGGAAAACAAGTTGGTGATTTCTCAGAACGTTTAAATAGAATTACCCCATGACACAGGAGTTCCACTCCTAGGGACACACCCAAGAGAAATGAAAATACATGTCCATACAAACTTGGACTAAGAACATCAGTGCTCATGACAAGAATGTTCATAAGGGCCGGGGATTTAGCTCAGTGGTTCGGTGGCCTGCCTTGCAAGCGCAAGGACCCGAGTTCAATCCCTGGTACCAAGAAAAAAAAAAAAAGAAGAATGTTCATAATCTCTAAAATGTGGAAACAATGAAATGTCCAAGCCAAATTGATGAATGGGTAAGTAAAATGTGGTATGTTCATTCAGTGGACAGTTATGAGCTCTGGAATAGTTTAAGCCCCTGACACATGCTACAACACGGATGAATCTTGAAAACATGAGGTCAAATGGAAAAGGGCAGACGCAAAAGGCCATATGTTGTATGATTCCATTCAAATGAGATCTTTAAGGTAGGCAAGTCTGTAGCGACAGAAAGTAAATTAGTGGTGTGGGGGCAGGGAGGTGGTGGTTACAGGAAATTACTAATGACTGTGAGTTTTCCTTTTCCGGCTAAGTAAAAAATGTTCTACAATTAGTGGATGATTCACAACTTTGTGAATGTTCTGAAACCCACCGAGAGGTGTGCTTTGGAAAATGAAATTTATGGGGCCTGGGATTTAGCTCAGTGGTTCTGCCGCCTGCCTTGCAAGCACAAAGACCTGAGTTCGATCCCCGGTACTCACGCCCCGCCAAAGAAAATGAAATTTATGGCACGTGAATTATATGTCAGTTTTTTGTTTTATTTTTGATAATGCCATTGAACCTGGAACAGTCTACCAATGTGCTACAACCTCAGGCCTTAAATTATTATTATTATTATTTTTAAAATTTTGATCCAGGGCATAGCTGAGTGGCCCTGGCTGTTCTCAAACTTGAGATCCTCTGTGTCAACCTCTCGAGTAGCAGCGAGTACAAAAGTGTGTCATGGCACCTGGCTTTGTATCCATTTTATAAGTGGAAAAAAGTAAACCCTTTGCCTTACAATGCTTTAATTAATGTTAGAAGGAAGGGAACAATCACAGTTTTTAACATAGCACATCAAAAAAAGAGAAAAAGTAGTAATGCGAAAGAAATAAGAGGAAGAAAATTACAGATATGAGAAATGAATAATTTAGAAAATAAAATAGCAACATTTACCAATTAAATTCAAAACTGGCTTGACGTAGGAAAAAGGAGGAGAAACAATTACACCTAAAATCCTCTGGTACATGTAATCAAAATGAATGATTACGACAGGTGAAAAATTTAATTCAAAGGGATACTTTATAATTATTATGCCTTATGCCAATGCATACTCTATGAAACAGATCATTTTCCTGGGGGTAAAAAACACAAGCCAATGAAAGTGATTCAAGAGAAGTAAAAATCCTGAATAGACTGATGAACCCAGGGAAAAAAAATTACCGAAAGAACTTCCCCCAGTGAAGACTCTATGCCAGACAGTTTTCTAGATAGCATTTTAAGATTCTAAAGAGACAAAAATTCCTTTGCTCTATTTGTGTTGTGATTTCCAGAGCATAAAATCGATGGAAAGTGGTTGAGGAGGTAGGCTGGCGGTAGGGTGCTTGCCTAGCATGTGCGAAGTCCTGTGTTTTACAACCTGTATGGCAAAAACAAAAATTTTTTTTTGGTACTGGGGATTGAACTTGGGTCCTTGAGCTTGTGAGGCAGGCGGTGGAACCACCGAGCCAAATCCCTGGCCCTCAAAAAAATTTTTTATAGAGGAAATCTCCCAGATTCATCTTGAGATACTGGTATTTCTCTAGTATCACACATTGACAAAAAAAAAAAAATGATAGAAAGAACCTCACATGAGCACAGAGCTGGGTACTGACAGTGGGACTCAGCTCTTGGATGGGTTTGTGAGACCTACATTTGAGTGTGTGTGTGTGTGTTTCCCTGGTGCTTACAAAGGAGAGGGTTCACCCAAAATCTAGATTTCTGGTTACTCCAAAGAAATGAAAATAAAATCACAGAGCCTACTTTTTGCATGAGGACCATGGGCTGCACTGGGATCGAGGGTAGGCCTGAAGTGGATCTTCTTCCCGGCAGGTTTTTCTGGTCCTCACCACTTCCCAGAGTCTCTTTGGTACACTGTGGCCTAGCACCACGTGTCAATTTTTTTGGGTGCAGTACTGGAGCTTGAACCCAGGGTCCTTGCATGAGCTCCATTCCCAGCCCTTTTTAATTTTTAAGTTTTGTGATAGGGTCTCGCTAAGTCACTAAGTTGCACAGGTGGTCCTCAAACTTTCTATCTTCCTACCTCAGCTTCCTAGAGTTCTGGGATTACAGGTGTGCATCTCCACGCCTGTCTATGGCTGTTTAAAAAAAAAAAATCATGCTTGTAAATAAACATTTTCCTGGATCTTGAATCTTTCAAAGGTGAGAAAATAAAAACAAACAAGACAAAAGTATATCTTAAGAAAAAATTGCTTCACAGCATATAATACTTGTCTTTCAGTGAAGTTATAGTAATCAGGACAGTGTAGGGTTATCACGAAGATGGCTAAATCAATCAATGGAATGGAAAGGAACCCATGAATAATTCAGCAACTTGATATTTGACAAAGACACCAAAGCAACTCAGTGGATAAAATGAGCCCTGTATGCTATGGGATTCACAAAACGTGGAGACAGTTGGCATCGCTGTTTTGGTCGGCCTAGGTGGTTTACTCCAGAACCCCTAGAAAGCATCAGAACTGCCAAACACAGCCTTAGCACGGACATCTCATGTGGCTGCATTAGTGGGGCCTTCTGAGGGTCAGGGGTACATCACTGTCCTGCGTACATGGCTCTTTTGTTATTTCTTCCCCTCCTAGTCATTAAACCACAAACATGGCTACCAAAGGGCACTCCTCAAAATATTTGGATTTATTGACCACAGTGAGGTAGAGAGGGCTGAGTGACACAAAGCTATTGTTGCTGTGTTAATACTTTTGTTTCTTTTAAGAGCTGCAGTTGTGCTTTGTATGATTTTTATTGGGCCTTTGGGCCTGGTGGAATGCTGAGGGACAACAGGTCTGTCTTGGGGAAAGTATAATCTTCTTTCCTTGTCCTTTATTTAATTCAGAACACACTTGATTTCATCTTTTTTTATTTTTTTATGTTTTTGGTTTTTTGAGACAGGATTTCACTATGGAGTTGAGATTGACCTGGAACTCACTATGTAGCCCAGGCTGCTCTCAAACTCACAGCGATCCTCCTGCCTCAGCCTCCGGAGTGCTGGGATTACAGGTGTGCGCCACCACGCCCGACAGGACACACTGGATTTAGAAGCTCTTCTCAGTGCAGGATGCTGTATCCCTGCCCTTGGGGTGGGAGGTGACGGGTTCATGGATTTCTGTTTTCCAGGCTTCTCTGCTGCCCGGAACGGTATCACTGGGCCAGAGACAGTGAGTGGCCTGGAGCGGGGCTCACTGACTGTGCAGTGTCATTATAGCTCCGCGTGGGAGACCTACCCAAAGTGGTGGTGTCGAGGAGCTCGCTGGAGTAGCTGCAAGATCCTGATTAAAACCAATGGATCAGAGAAGAAGGTGAAGGAGGAGCGTTTGTCCATCAGGGACCACCAGAAAAAACATGTGTTCAGCGTAACCATGGAGGATCTCAGGGGAGGTGATGCTGACAGTTACTGGTGTGGGATTGAAAGGATTGGAACGGACCTTGGGGTCAAAGTTAAAGTGACCATTGATCCAGGTAAAGTGTGTATGTGTGGTTGTCCCCGAGGTCCCACATAAGTGAGTGAACTGTCACTCACAGTGACTTGTCACGGAACGGGGCTGAGTCCCGAGGATTCACCGAACCTTAAATGAGCGCTTGGGTTTGGGAAGGGAAGGGCTTCTCTTGAATACCCCCAGGTCCCAAGGTCTTCTCCAACTCGAGATTAAACCTTCCCAGGTGCTTTTTCCTCACTTTGTAGCTCAGTCCTGGGTCTATTGCCTTTACAAGACAACATGGTGGTCCCCCATTTCCTTCCTTGGGCTAAAGAGATCCCCTTCTGTGATTCCCAGAGATCCCAGTCCCTGCTACTTCTTTCTTGGGACCTCACTGCCTGAGGATAATCTGCTCTTTTAGGAGCTTGGCCTTCACCACTGCTGTTCTGTGTCATCCAGCGCTGTGGTCTTATTTCTGAGGACTAGAAAACCTGTACAGTCAAGCAGCTGTATTCCTGGTGCCTGAAACCCTTCTTTGAGCCACCGTTCCTTTGAGCTTCATTTCATTCTCTTTCCAAGTCCTTCTAGGATGCAGACATTCCCAGAAGGGTCAGCTCGAGGTTCCAGTGCCTTGGTTTGGAGGATTTTCTCTCAGGCTCTGTTTCTGCTGACTCTGAAATAGGCAGCACCAGTTCTAGTGTCCCTAGGGGTACCAGCGTCATCAGGGCCCTTGCCACTCTGGGAGTCTCTGAGCCTGTTCTCGTTGGCACAATGAGAGCTTGCATCAGTTCCTGAAAATTCTGTACCCCTTGGGAGGAAGGAGTCTCCGTTATTGGAGCTTCATGCCTTGCCTAAAGTAAAGGCCTTTCTGCATGTTATCATTTTTGTTCAGGGGTGTATAAATTGATCAACAGAACGGAAAGGCAAATCCATAAATAATTCACAAATTTGCTCTTTGACAAAGACCTCAATGTTATTCAGTGGAGAAAATGAGACCTGCATGTACCACAGTACACGGAGACAGTGGCATCACTGTTTTGGTTGACCAGGGATAGTTTACTACAGAACCCCCAGAGGGCATTAGAATCAGCAAGCACAGCCTCAGCAAGGCCATCTCATGTGGCTGCATCAGCAGGGCCTTGGGGATACGAATGGTTCACCCCCTCCACATAGCCCTGTTCTAGGCCTCTCTGGCTGGCGTGGACCGTGCTCCTCCAGACTCAGAGCCAGGTCCTGGGCTGTGGGAGGGCTAGCAGGAGAGTAGCATATAATATGATTTGTGTGTCAAGCACCAACGACAGTGCCGACTACAGTCCCCACCACCTCTGCCTCCACCATGAACATGTTCATGGTGCCAGTCACCACGGAAGACACCAGAAGCCTCCTGACTCTGCCCAACTATCACTCCAATGGCAGGTAAGCCAGCTCCCATGCTGCTGTCCTGTGGCTCAGTTGGCCCAAACCTTCCCAATGGGGGCATCTCTGAAGTCTCAGTCCCCAACTAGAGCTTGGCACTTGGCTCTTCTGTGAGGGTAAAGATCTCGGGGACCTTCTCACTTGCTGTCACCTCCCACAGATTCCGTATCCTGGAGCAGAGAGAAGTCTACTTTTCATTCATTCATTCACTCTTTCATGTACCCAGTTTTTTACTGAGCTTTACATGGCACGAGGGTGCTGGGCTCTGGGGATCTAGACGTGGAGTTTGGGGTGGGGCAGTAGGTGATCTGTGAGGACAGCATGGCTGGTGTGTGTGTGAGTGTGTGTGTGTGTGTGTGTGTAGGTATAGAGCTGTAGGGCTACAGGATGGCTCTTGGTTCAACTTCTGTGCAGCCACCAAGGGCTTGGGGGAAGTCCCATTTCCCCTAATGTTCTCCTAAGTTCTGTGATGACAAGAACAGTGACCCTGGTAGCTCAGGTCTCTAGAGCTCATGAAGGGATTTCCCGTCCATTATTTTCTTTGACCCTGCCCAAGACCACGCATGAAGAGAAACAGGTAGACATGAATATTCCTTTTCTTTGGTCTTAGTAGTAGGGAACAAATGCAGGGTCTTTGCACTGAACCATAGCCCCACCCCTTTAAAATTTTTTTTTTTTTTTTTCTTTTTGAGGCAGGTCTCACTATCTCACTGAGTCGCTGGGCTGGGCTCGAATGTGTAATTCTCCTGCCTTAGCCTCCCAGAATGTTTGGACACCCAGAAGTGTGCTTTACTAATCCCCTAGGGGCCTCCTAAGCCAATCGGGTTGACTTGATTGAGTGTAACTGCAGTGGATAAACTCTTCCTCCTGGCTCCTCACATGGTCTGCCCCTTTGTGCATGTCTGTGTCCAGGCACACTACAAGAGGGCTCACCCTCAGTGATTTCATTGAACTTTAGCAAGGGCTTTGAGGACTCTCACATTCGGAGGTACTGAATGGAGAATCTGTCCCAAGCCTGTCCTTTAGCTTCTGGAGGCTGCCAGCTGCACCATACCAGTCTTTTTCTCTGCTTCCACTTCACTGCTCCTCTCTGGGTGCCCACATTTCTTTTTTCTTCCCAGTATGGGGGATCGAACTCAGGACCTTGCACTTGCCAGGCAGGCACGGCACCGCTGACCCCAGCCCGTGCCCACAGTTCTCTCTGTGAGGATGACAGTCATTGGTTTAGGAGCCACCCTGATCCAGTGTGACTTTGTCTTAGCTCAATTACGTCTCAAAGACCTTATTTCTAAATAGGTCATATTCACAGGATCTGAGTGGATGCAAATTTTGGGGACTGTGTTCAGCACAAGCAGCGAGGCATGATAAAAATATATGGTGAATATTTAAATAAAAATCATTTCACTAAAAGACGCATGGCCATAATTTCCCCTCAAAATACTTGTCCTTTGCTTTAAACACACTTATGCCATCGTTCTTACTGTAATTATGTTTTAAAAACTTTAAACATTCACTGTAGGTTTTGATGACTCCTTGTACAGAAGCAGGAAGGCCTGTCAGGAGCTATTGCCACAAGATTTCTGTTAGGTTTCCAACTGCACCGGACCTACCTCATGGAACCTTCCTCTTATTAATAACCATCTCTGAGGGCTCTCAGGCGTGAGAGTTCCTCCTGTAAACCACAGTCCTGCAGGCCATGAAGTGTGTTCCCCGCTCCTGCTACTGGGTGGCTGGGGTAGGGCTCGGGGTGGAAGGTGAGCCTGGGTGCACAGGATCCTCTCTCTCTCTCTCTCTCTGGGGAATGAGACCCAAGGCCTTTGTATTGAGCTACATCCCAAGCCCGCCCCCTCCTTTCATTTTTATTGTTTTGATACAGTTTCTTTCTAAGTTGCCCAGGCTACACTTGAACTCTCTCTCTCTCTCTCTCTGGGGAATGAGACCCAAGGCCTTTGTATTGAGCTACATCCCAAGCCCTCCCCCCTGCTTTCATTTTTATTGTTTTGATACAGTTTCTTTCTAAGTTGCCCAGGCTACACTTGAATTTATGACACTCCTGCCTCAGCCTTCCAGAGTGGCAGGATTACCGGCGTGCACCCTTGTGTCCAGCTCTAGGGCCTCCCTCTGTCGTTTGTAGGTACAGCATCGTAGACCTCAAGGTCCTCCTCCCGATCATCTTTGCAGTGCTGCTGCTGCTCTTGGCGGCAGCCTCACTCCTGGCTTGGGGGATGGTGAAGCGACAGAAGAAAGGTGAGAGGCCCTGGCCCCGTGGGGCTGGCGCTGGCTGGGTCAGAGCGTGGAGCTGACGGGTGGCGTCATCCTCCAGGAGCTGGGTGGCCCATCGTCTGAAGGGCAGCTGTCCCCAAAGATCACCGATATCTGGCGGTCTGAGGGGTCAGGGGTGGCCTGGAGCTTGCAGATGAGCCCAGTGAAGTCCCAGTGGTGGCGTCAGCTGCCTGGCCTGCGCAACCCTCCTGCTCTTCTCGTCTCTCCGCCCCACTTTCTTTAGTTTCCTGGTTTGGCTCTCAGGGGCAGCGGTGGCAATGGCAGCCTGTTTTGGATCTGTGTGGTTGTCCAGGAGGTACTGAGCTGAGGCGGGGGAAGGGAGGAAGAGCCACACACTAAGAACACAGCACCCCCGTAGTACACGCACGGTTGTGAAGTTGTGTAACACAGGCCTGCACACTCACACATGTCACACATGTTCGTGCGCACATGATGCAGTCCCCTACGTCTGACCGGAAAGGTCGGTTGACCCTGGCCCAAGCCGAGCTCCTTGCCCTGCATGACCTTGCTTTTTCAGGGAAGACCTCTTCGCTCAGAGACTGGAATTCAGTGGGATAAGTGGGACAGGACAGACAAAAGCAAGTGCCGTGCAGAGAAGGCGTAGACAGCAGGCACAACTTCGAGACCACTCCTGAAGGACGTGTGGAGTGGAGCGAAGTGGGGTGGGCAGAACTTCTGGCAGTGTGTACAGGCCATGCCCAGGACTTTGCAGAAGGAAACTGAACTGTGGGAGCCGAAGGCTGGCAGGGCCACCCGGCCGCTTGATTACAGCTCTGTGATTGGGTCTTCTTTTTAGGTGGAGCAATGGAAGCTCAGAGGGGGGGTGTGACTAATGTCACGGAGTGATAGAGAATTAGAACCAGGTCCTTGTCGCTGAGCCTCGGGCCTTATTCCTCCTTTTGTCCCCCATATTTCTCTCTCTTGTGCATGGGGGCCTCAGCGATGGGCTTATCTAATTCTGGGTTGTTTTTATCTTTTAGCTGCTGCGCTGTCCTCAGAGCAGGTAAGAGTCCCTGAGGTTGGAGCAGAGACACCAGTCAGCTCCTTCTCCCCGTCCTTGTTTTCTATCTCCCCGGAGCCCAGGTATCTACATGTTTCACATGAGCCATGTACTCATTGCCCCTGCAGGCCTGGGAGGCAGAGGCGCCTGTAGACAGCTAGAGGGTGGATGCCTGGGGGATATGGGGGCTGAGAAGTGGGAGGCATGCAGGGAGCTTGAGGGGGTCACAAGGAAGCAGAGAGGCTCTTGTCTTTCCGTGGAAGAGGAACCTATGCCCACAGATCGGGTGACTCCCAGCCTGTGTTCTCACCTGCAGCCCTTGGAAGGTGACCTCTGCTATGCAAACCTGTCTCTGCATCAGCCTGGAACCTCTTCCAGCTCCTCCTGGCCAAAGGCCTCCACCAAGTCCTCCTCTGCCCAGGCCACCCAGCAGGAAGTGGAATATGTCACCATGGTGTGTGGGGGCTGCTGTGGGGCTGGGGAGGGCAGATGAGTCTCTGGCTCCCTTTCAGGGATGGGTTTTCTCATGTCCTTGTGGGCACCCGTGAGGATGGTGGGCACTGGGCAGAGCTTCAGTAACTACGGTGCTCACCTGAGGAGCCCCCAGGCTTTCAGAAGGGTGTGCACCCCAGGTCTCAATGCTGGGGAGTCGGGGTCCATTTGATGTGGTCCTTGTGCTGGGCAGGAGAGAGAGCCAGACTGGGTGAGTGGAGCCCGTTTCTGTAGGAGGCAGCTGCCCCGGGGCAGGGGTGGGCTCTATGTGGGCTGCAGCTGGTTGGGGTGCCTGGCAGAGCAAAGGGAAGCTGGAGTCCTTGGGAATGGACTTCAGAACCTTTGAGCTTCCCACCTGTCTTCTCTGGGTTGTTTCTCATCTTGACCCATGGCCACAGGCTCCTGCCAGCCTCTCTGACCTTGTAACCATGTCTGTTGCAGGCTCCCTTTCCGAGAGAGGAAATTTCCTATGCGTCTCTGTGTTTAGACCCCTTGGATCAGGAACCAGTCTACAGCAACACTGGCCACACTCCCAGCAGGGCCTGCGAGGAGTCGGCAGAATACACCAGTATCAGGAGATCTTAGCCTGTGTTCCGACTCCCTCTCGGACCTTGCGCAAAGTCATGGCGCATGTTGCTGCCTGTCTGTTTTCTGTCCCTGTCCCTCACCAGGGCCAACCGGTGACTGAAGCTCTGCCTCATCAGCCAGCATGGCCTCCAACTCTGGCCTGTGCTTGGGGACCGATTTTAGAGGACTTTAAAGAATTAGGGCTCTCTTCACCCCCGACCTAGTTTGGGAGAAGCCTGGAGACATAGTCTGGGGCTGCATGTGAATAATAATGAGAATAATAATAATAATTACCCTTCATTTATTGCTTACTATGTGCAGTGCACTGGAGAATAGCCCCCAAACAGGTCTGCATCCTGACCCCCAGAACCGGCGAATGTACCATCCATAGTAAAAGACAAAGAGTACATGTGATTATTCTGGATTATCCAGGGGGCCCTAAAATATTATCATAAGGCTCCTTCTAAGAAGGAGACAACAAAGCCAATGTGATGCTACCGGTGGCAGCTGGAGTGATGTGGCCAGGAGCAAAGGAACCCTGCAGTCTCCAGAATTTGGGGGAGGCAAGGGACAGGTTGTCCCCTGGAGCCTCCAAAAAACCACCCCTGCCAATGCCTTGGGTTGAGCTCAGTGGAGCTGACTTTGTAATTCTGGCCTCCGGAACTGTAGTAAAATAAATTTGTGTTGTTTTTAATGAAGTCACTTAATTTGCAGTACTTTGTTGCAGCGGCAATGAGAAACTCGGTGACAGGTGCTCTTCTCTAAGTCCTTCACGTAGAATAGCCTGTTTCATCTTACCAGGGTGCTTCTATTATTGATCCACTTTACAAATGAGGAACTGAGATCTGGAGAGACTCAGCGTTGTGTACCAAGTTTAATGGTCAGCGAGAGGATAAGTGAGGCCCAGGGATGTAGCTCAGTGGTGCTGCAGCCTGCCTTGCAGGCACAAGGTCCTGAGTTTGATTCCCCAGAACAACAACAACAACAAAAAGAAGATAAGTGGAACCCAGGTATTTGGCCCCAGTATCTGGAGTCTGGGCCGTTACCTGTCCTGTTTGAATAAGCAAGATAATGTGTATATGCTCACACAGCTACTCATGCAGGGAGTATGAGTGTTTAGATGCAGGACTTATTATCTTTGATTCTAGAATCCTTGCAGTCTTCTTCCCAGCACACATCCTGAATCCCATGGCATCTCTGTTTCTGTGGTCACCAATACTAGTCCAAGCAACCACCCCATCCTGACTGTTTTCCCTGTTTGATTCTTTGCCTCTGAATCCATTTTCCTCCCAGAAGCCAGAGTGATCAGAGCTGATCGCCTGCTGCTTATGAACTTCCAGTGGTTTCTTCCTCAGCCTTCAGGGCCCTAGGGAATCCACGGGCTGCTGCTGGCCCTTTGGGTCATCTCCATCCACTCTCCCTCTCCCTCATTCTGGTCCAGCCACACCAGCCTTTCTTCTGGTCCTTCTGACAAGATGTTATAGTCGGAATCTGAAGTGTCTCCCAAAGGCCATATGCTAAAGCCTGTTCACTATGGAGAGGTAGTGAAAAATGTAGGAGGAGGAGCCTAGAAGAAGGAAGTGAGGTCACAGAGGGCACGGCCTCGAAGGGATATTGGGACCTGGCCTTTCTTCTTTCTGCTTCTTGGTCACCCTGGGTGAGCAGCTTTACTGTACCATGTGCTCCCCACTGCAGGCCCAAAGCAAGGGCACTAAGCAACCATGGATGGAAACTTCTAAAACCTGAACCAAAACAAACCTTTCTCCTTATAAACTGAGTATCACAGGTGCTTTGCCACAGTGATGGAAAGATGACCAACGTAAAAGATCAGGCTCACTCCCTTCTCAGGACATGGGTACTTGCTGCTCCTTCTTTCTGGCACATTCTGCCAAAGTCACACAGTGGGAAAGTGGCTGGGCTGGATTCAATTCCAGCCCTATTTTATTTCTTCTGTACTATGTGATCTGCTGTGAAATTACTAATTTATGGGTGTGTGGACTTGTTGTTTATCTGTTCCCACTAGGTGGCATTCTCCCGCAGGGGCGACTGTCTCACTTCCTCCTGTGTCCCCCTTGCCTAGTAGAGTCCGCCATGTGGCAGATTTCCACATGTTTGTTCATTGACTCAATGAATAAACAACACAGATGGTTCAGACTTGGGAACACAGGGCAGGCTCCCAGGAGCAGGGACAGCAGCATGCATCATTCCAGGAAGGGAGTCCTGGCCAGGCAACCTAAGGAGTTTCGGGATTGGCTTTCCTAAAGCATGCAGTAGAGACATTTCTCTCCTCCCCGGAAATCAGGGGGGCAGTACGATCCATGATGCTGGAGACAAAGGCCTGTCCCTTTACCTGGGCCAATTTTGGTGGAGACTGAGGATGAAGTCACAGAGAACGGCATCCTGGCTTTCATGGGAAAGAAGGACAAGCTAGGTCTGAGGACCACAGGCAAATGGGCCAACAGGGGGCCATGGAAGTGTCTAACCGGACATTATCAGGCTGTCCCGGGCTTTGCCTGGCTGCTCATAGCTCTGGACAGCCCAAGGCACCCGGGACAGATAGCCTTGGTGGATGGCTTATGTATCCACTGCTCCAAAGATGATTCCCTCTCACCACCCCCTCCACAGGGATTTTGCACTGAGCCACATCCTCAGCCCTTTTTTGTGATTTTAATTTTGAGAAGGAGTCTTGCTAAGTCACTATGTTGCCCAGGCTGGGCTTGAACTTAGGATCGTCCTGTCTCAGCACCCGTCACCCCCCAACCAGAGCGCTAGAATTACAGGCAAGCACCACCTGTCCAGCCTGCCTTCCTGACATCTTAAGAGCTTTTCCTTCCTGGGGGAATTTTCAGACCCCTAGAATAGTGACTGTTTTTTGAGCTGGTCATTTAAGCCGGTCAGGTCGGAGGGAGACTGTTTTGGACCAGTCCGTTTGGAGATGTACAGAGCAAGATGGGCTTACAGAGAGATCTTTACATGGAAAAGCTCAAGGGAGAGCAAAATTAGAGTGAGACGAAGTATAAGTAAAAGTCATAACATTCAGCCTCACTGTGCTGTTTTAATGATAGTTCATAAAGGGGCTTTATTTAAGTAGCCTGCACCAGAGTGTATGGGTATAGGCTCGTCTTTTTGATAATACACGATCACAGAACATTACTGCCATGATGCTGATAAGCATTTAACCCAGTTTAACTCAGCTGGAGGAATCTAAACAGTAGACACGGGCTGAAAATGGAAGTTTCTGACAGTCTGGTTGAGCAGACGAGGGGTACATCAGCTTAGGAAGTCCGATCCTGCTCTGACAACTTTTAATTGCCTTAAACAAGCTCAGAAAAGGTGTCTGTACAAGACAGATATATTGCTAGATGTGTTCTAATCCAAAATCCCAGCCATCCAGATTGGCGACCCTCCCCTACCCCCGCTCACTTTAAGTCCTCAGAGTTAGAGCTGACTAGGTCCTGACGTCTATGAACCAGTACGGTCAGTTCCCTGGCAGACGGAGCAGATTTCTGACTGCGTCCCAATGGAAACATCAGCTGGGTTCTTTACATGCCGGGTTATAACCTCTACTTTGACCGGATCTGTTCAAGCTTGAACTAGAATTTGGAGAATGCTAGGGAAATAGTCAGGGGGCCAGACCTACGCAAGGAGACAGAAAGGAAATGGTTTCACAAGGCTTACAGATCTGTATCCAGGTATTGCCTCAGCCATTTGCTGCTCCATAAAGATTTTGCTAAAGCAGATTTTGGGTGATTGGCCAGCATCTGTATTGCAAGACAGAGAATTCAGACATGGCTCCTCTGGTCTGAGCGAGGGTGGCATTTACTATCTTGCTGTACGGTTTCCAGAAAAGCACACACTGTTAAAACAAGCTGCAGGATATTGATGTTCTCAGCTCTGATTGAGTGTTTTATTATTTATTGACCATCTAAAGTGGCTGGGGTTTCCCTGTCTTTGGTTTTTGAATTATTAATATTTAAAGATTCCTTTTGATCAAAATTGGAGCATTTGGACTGTTGCCTTTGGGGAACTATGAGCATATCATTGGCTTCCAGAAGACAGGTTTTATTTGTGTGTGTGTGTGTGTGTGTGTGTGTGTGTGTGTGTGATGAAGGAGTACAAAAATACTCCCAGTAAGTACTGGATTGCTATCCTCTAAAATATATGATTAAGGTAAAAGTGGGATTGAAGTGTGGCTAAAAGTTATCTTTGCTTGACACTTAGCCTTGAGAAATAGGGGACACCTAGGCTGGGAAGGGCCAGACTACTCGAATCAGTTAATTTCATGCATCAATAGTTTTTTAGATTGGAAGAGACAGATGGAGTGGTTGGCCTTTTATTTTACCAAGTAGGTTCCTTCCCTCTTTCCTTCCTTCCTTCCTTCCTGTCCCCCCCTTGTTTTTCTTTTCTTAGTGATACTGAGGATTTAACCTGGTACAGGGGACTTTGCACTGAGCTACATTCCCAACCCTTTTCATTTTTCTATTGTGAGACAGGGTCTCTCTAAGTTGCTAAATTTCCCAGGCTGGGCTCAAATTTGTGATCTTGCTACCTCAGCCTCCCAGGGTGCTGGGATTACAGGTGTGCACCACTGTACCTGGCTCCAGTGCATACTCTCTTCTCCAATGTAACTGGATCAGTTAATTGTAAATGGGTCAGTTCATTGAAAACTAGGGAATCATAAAAGAGATACTTGTATATCTTTCCTTCACATGTTTTATTTTACTCAAAATATCTATATTGCAGTGATCTGCTAGTATTTTGATGTTGATTTAATGCCTTTTCTTCTGGGTGTAATGAAAGATGGGGGCCTCTCTTTTTCTTACATAAACCAACCCACACTGTATTTTCCTGGAGTTGCAGTTTCTCTGACATGAAGCAAGGTGCTCAGGTCACTTATGAAACAATGTCACTACCAAAACTTTCTTTTTTAAAAATATTTTTCCTTACAGTTCCCTCACCCATTCCTAATTTGGTAGCATTTTTTAAATGATAGGTTTTTAGGTAGAACCTTTTTTTTGTGTGTGTGGTACCGGGGATCGAACTTGGGCCCTTGTGCTAGAAAGGCAGGCAGTAGAACCACTGAGCCAAATCCCCTGCCCTAGATAGAACCTTTTTATTTCATTTTATATATTTATTTTTATTGGTACCGGGTATCGAACTTGGGTTCTTGTGCTTGCGAGGCAGGTGGCAGAACCACTGAACTAAACGCCCATCCCTAGGTAGAACCTTTTTAAAGGAGTTAATTTTTTGTAGAAAATTCAGTCTCCTTTTTGTTTACATTCTTATTCCATTGATTAATATTCTCTTCAGTTCCGTTCTTCATTAGTTTATGAGTAGAATTCAATCATATCATAGTAATTAACACGTATTACTGTGTAAGCGAATTTGGGCCTAAACAGGAGACTCTTGCTAACTCCACACCTTAACAAGTGGGTGCCAATGTAAGTGGCATCCCAGGAAAGAATCCTCCTGTGGTGGTGTGTAATGTGTCACACACACACAGCTGAAGTCCCCCACCAGCTGACTGAAGGTACAGGTTGGATAAGTGGGGGGGTTGGCTAAGAAAGTTTCCACTGAGCCACCTGTTATCACTATGATTTCGCAAGAGAAAGGACCCTGAATCTCGGAATAACACTGTCCCCAAGAAAGGGCCTCTGTCTGTTGTGTGTCT